TAATGCTCACTGTCCTGTGTTTTGTGCTTGTTGATTTCCTCCAACAGCACAACGGTTGTTGTTTTCTCTCCCACAGCTGCCCAGCATCTTGTTTATTGTCTTCTTTAAATATTTGCCTTCAATCTTTTTCCCCTCATGTCACAGGGCTACAAGTGTGTGTGTGTTTGCACACAGAGGGGGAATCTTTGATATATGTGTCCATATATGGCCCTCTGGTGTTAGCGGGGCAGAGCACACAGAGCAGAGGGCTTTTTGTGAGGTCCAAAGACGCACTCCATATTTCTTTCCATTCCACAGGGCTATAAAACTTCTTGGTATGCACCTCCAGCTCAGCCACCGTTACAGTCCCGCCTGTCAGAACCCGCCGCTGCAGATCAACTAAACAATGGCAAGAGAAGCAGGATGCTGGACTTCTATGGGAGTGTGTTATTTTGCCTTTCTTTATTTTTGTGACACGGCCCCTTTAACAACAAAAATCCATCCGAGCTCTCCTTCAGGGAGAGTAATAATCAAAATTAAAAAAATACTCAAAAAAACCCAAATCTCAGTGAGAAAGAGCAGCGTCTACATGAGCACATCAACTTCGGCTCAGGTTGAGAAAGGCCACAGTGCGGAGCGTGTTTTGAGGATCTACGGCGATGAGACAGTCCAGTGTGGTTTTCTTTGGCGGTTTAAAAAGCTCGCGGGCTACATTCAATATGTCTGGGTCGCAGCGGTCTCTCTGCAGCGAGGAACGCCACCTGCGTTCTTTTAAAAACACCTCGCGTGCAGCCCCACATTTGATCAAATGGCGTGGCCGTTTTCCAGGCGGGCTTAGACTCATCAAACAGTCAGCGGGCCGGAAACAACACTGGTGAAGTGAAACAAGTGCTTGAGTGCAGGGACGGATAAATTCATCGGGTGTGGTTTAGTTAAATCCTGCTCCAACATCCGAGGCCTCCAGGTCAGAGATAACACAGTAAGATAAGAGGGTCATTATGGTATTAGTCTCCCTAAAGAACACATCTCTCCCATCCAAGAATATAGAAATGAAGACGTTTTCGGATGATTTAGATGAGTTTACATACTCAGTCACTAGCATGAAAAATAGTAATGAATTTAAGAATAGGAAAAGTAAAGTAAAAGTAAATATAAATCACCAATTGATATATTATTAAATCTGACGTTATCCAATAATACACATTTTATTGGGATGGCTATGTACTAGTTTCAACATCTCCAGACACAAAGGTCAAATGGTTTCCAGGCCTCCTCCTCCGAGGGGTTAGAAACCTGTTGATTTGTACAGAAATGTATTGATGTATTGGCCTTTTCTCCAATCCTTGCATTAAATAAAAGCAAAAAAACTCAATTATCATTACTATTCTTAAAAATATACAAAAGGGTCTTACGGGAGTAAGACCCTTTTTCAGTCAATCAAAGGTAATCAACTGACACCAAGAAGGGCAGACGGTCCATGTAGGACATATTAGTTTGAATAACGTTTTACTGAGTATTTATCTTGGCAGTCCATCCATCCATCCATCCATCCATCTACTGTCAAACCGCTTATCCTGCTTGCAGGGTCGCGGGGGGGCTGGAGTCTATCCCAGCCAACTTCGGGCGATAGACAGGGTACATCCTGGACTGGTCGCCAGCTTTCTTAGGAAAACTGGCTGAGCATTAAGCGGAGTGTTTATTCAGCTTCGATACCAGGCGGGGAGGCCGCAGCATTGAGAGAAGAAAAGGAGACAAGGACTTATCTTTCTGCTAAAATGTGGCCCGTCATCTCAACGAGTGTCGAGCAAAGTTTCCTTATTAAGATTGAGGGTTCGGAGGGACGAGTGTTACATTTCACTCTCGACAGCTTAAATCCCAGGAACACCGCGGATCAGTTCCAGTCTGCAGCACCGTCTGAGACCGGCGGCTCCCCCTGTTCGTGAAGCTCATTCCCAGAAAAAATCACTGTAAATCACTCGAAAAAAAGCCGGACTTTGGAAGAGCCGGGCGTTGGACACACACATGCTTTTGGATAGATATTCCTGATGTTACTTGTGGAGTCGTCCAAAATTAGCAACCGGGGTTCGAGTCTCAGCTGTTACCCAATATAGCCCTGCTGTCGCTGCTGACTGAGAAATACTGCCCTCCTTACATGAAGGCTAAAGGAGCTGCTCTGCCGTCATGGGAGAAAGAGACAGCGAATGCTGTCACTCAGCAGGATGGACACCCTGAATGCGACTGCAACTGACTCACATACTTCACAGAAAAGCACCACCCATCTGTTATCTCGCGGGGGAATCTTGCCTGCTTTATTATTACACGGAGGCCTGGAATGTGAGACATTTCTTGGAATTTCCAATCACGAATCTTGTCAAGCTATTCCTTTTTTTAACATTTGGATAAGCAGAAACAGTGTGTGAACCAACCCTGGTTGTCATTTGACATAGAAAGCATGTTTTTTATCTAAACCAATCCACCCCAGTTGGTTTCAGTAGTTACATAATCTGTCAGGCAGCAAATTTGAAACAGCAAATCAACCATTTAGGGGCAATGTTACAGCAACATATTGGCTTTTAACTCTGTAAAGTCACAGAACATTACGATTGCCATGTAAGTTAAGACAGCACTGACGTTATCTCTGCAAACAGTGCATGAGTGCACGTTTTCCTGTAGTTTAGCTTCAGGCATCTTTGCAAAAGATGGGATCTTGACAAAGCTCTTTGGGTTTGAAACATGCTTCATTTCAACTAATCAGGCATCAGAACGGAGTCAACAAAGTGCATCGTGGGTCCACACCTTTTTCCATGAGCAGGAAGATGCGACAGGACGTCTCGTCAATGACGACCAATAGAAAAACGAGAAAGGGAAGAAAAAAAAGAGAAAGCTTAGGAAACAGGCGGATCTATTGAATTCCATTTCTAAAATATTCATTGTTTTTATTTGAACCATCACAGTGCTTCTTCTGCAAAACGGACATTTTTCAAGTTAAGTGCTTAAATGCAGGACGTTTGTTGTAAACTTGGTTACAGCTTTAAGTGGTATATTAACCAGTCTCAAATCATGCCGTTCAGGACAATAAGAGGACCAGTCCACTTTTACGTCATTCGTCTGTTGAGGTTCTGGTGGATCAACACAAACGAGGAACATTCTTGGGGTTCTGAAGGGAGAGAGAGAGGGTGAGGAGTGGATGGGCAATCCCAGCTAAACACATGGCTTCAGTTTCCCCTCTGCACCGCGTGACCAAAACACTCAAAACAACCAAATATGGTGTTCATTAGGAAATCCTCTAGATCCACGTTACGCACTTTACCATCATATGCTGCTGACACAAAGTAGGTAATGAGCAGTCGCCAGTAGCAAATCCGCGACCTGTCAACGCGAGGCTGCTCCTGAAGAGCCCTGAGGTTTTAGCCGTGGAACTGGGATCCCCAGAGTGAAAAATGGATGTGAACTCTCACTCATGACCAAAGGATCCAAACGGGAATCGCTGCATACTTCAAGGTCTGGTCCGTGAACCAGGAGAGAAAAAAACGAAAAGAAGCACATCCACTATGTCCATATTTGGCCTGGCTTACATTGCCAATCCTTCCACTAGAACGTATTTCTCCAAACATCCACTGATCCTTTCCACTGGCCTCTGAAGGACAGTGCTGACACCTGCTGGAAAGAATGTGGGACGGCATCGCTTCTTTCTTAAACACATACGTTGACATACAATAATCTTAATGGCACTTGGTTGTTTGAAACTTTTTATTTTTGGTGAATACAAAAAATACTTTTGTGACCAGATGAATATCATACATACTGCATCAAATCATAAAACGAATGCAGCCTGTCAAAGAAAGCACAACACCTATTCATAACATAACAGCTAGTACATCTTTCTAATTTCCGTTTATACTCGGACAAATCAGTTAGACAATATATTTCAGGGTAATTCATACATTTACAGATTTTTTAAATAGTGGTTAGACCAGCGGTTCCCAAACTCAAGAATGCCACGGCCCAATTTGAAATCCGAAAATCTTTCGCGGGCCACCTTTAATCACAACTCTGATCAAAACATAATGATTAAATGACCTTAAGAATTTAACCAAAATCAAACATCCGCGAGCAAAAGTCCGTCTCCGCGAGGTATTTGCTCGCTTGCGCAACGTGAACTTCGTTGCTCGTGAGGAGAATCTCTGCTCGCGCTTGAAGGAGTTTTCTACGCGCTCGCTGTTGTTCTTTTTGACAGTAACGTGGAGACGATGCTTTCAGGGTACGATCGATGCCGCGAGGTGCGTCCGCTCCCGCCGCCCCCTCGCCATCCACGCCTTAAATCTTCGGCTCCTTTTAGAATAACTTATTTCCCCGTTAAGATGGTTCAGCTGCTGTAGAGAAAAGGACGCCGTCTCTCGCTCTTTAATCTCATGAAGTGCTCGGCGAGAACAACAGCTTTGTTTCTCCGACGCGCCCTGAAAGCAGCTCCATATCTCACGCGCTTGAGCGCCGCTCAGCATCTCGCCGTCGTAGACGAGCTTTGGCATGTTTGGCGGAGCGCCTTGAGCGCCGTGTACAACCAGTATGGATCAACCGATTAACCAATTGATCCATATATATAAGGCGCTCCGGATTATAAGGTACCGTCGTTTTTTGAGGAAATTGAAGCCTTGTAAGTGCGCCTTGGAGTGCGGCAAATGCGGTATATTTACTTTAATACTACAAGAGGGCGCCCCATTTGTTGAACAAACGACAGGCGGACAAGAGCAGCCGTTTCGAGCGAGAGCCTTATTGTTTTATTAATCTGTCCGTTTAAATTGTTTGTGCTTCATCAACTAATGTTTCACATAACTAATGTGCCGACATCATAAATAATTTTATATTAATTTCAAACGTTTAAAAATTAAAAAACTTTATTTATTTATTTATTGTAAATGACCTCTCGCGGCCCACCTGCAGTACCGCGGCCCACACTTTGGGAATCGCTGGGTTAGACAATGAAAAAAAAGAGTCAAACATTTAAAAGAGACTTCACATAATTGTTTTAACAATTTATTGTACTTCAAACACAAATTGCCATATGCTGATGGAATGCAGTCTAGTGTCAGTCTTCTAACATGTGCCCTAAGTAATCCACACATGCGCCCCTTTTACCAGAATGTTTTAATATTGTAGGTAAGTACGCCACCAGCCAGGGCATTGTGTTGTACAGCAAAGGACTGGGTGACAGTTTAAGGCCCCGATGGGGACTCGACTGGCATAATGTTGTGATCCAGAGAGGACAAGGCTCAGGCTCCCACCCGGCCTGATCTTCAGCTGCTCGCAGGGCACACTCGAGTAAGGCACTAGTACACAATGCAGCCCAGATGCTGGCATGGAAAGACTAAGGAGATGAACTGCATCAAATTTCTAATTTTCAATGTGATATAAATCAATATGCTAAGGGGGAAAAAAAGAGGATTCAATAAATGTCCTCAATCAGTGCTCGCAGCGATTTCCTTCTAGTTTGTAGTTACGTAAGTAATATAATGGAAGCTTAAAATGGCTGTCTTCAGTGCATATGTTTATGAGCAACGTCAGTGCATAATGTGTGCTCGCTTCATTCAAGGGCCCACAGCCAAACATCATTGCACATAAACAATCTTACAACCAGCGCAGGCTCATTATCAGCGCGCCAGGATAGTCAACGTAATGCATTGCTATGGACGGTCGCGCTAAAGTGGAAATGCCTTTACCATGACAGGCCGGTGACTGGTGGGGAATAACTATCGGTGTGTGTACAGTGGGCACCCGAACCACCGCTGGCCAGCGTCATTATGAGGGGAATTAAAACATGGAGACAAGAGAGAACAAACATGACAAGTAATGTAATGTATTCCTTGAACCGCTCCGTGTATGTAAGGGAAGAACCGGTAGGGTCACATGATAATGATGTAATGTTTAAGCAGCATAACATATATGGTCAAATATAGTCCAGATTCTCTAAATAACACCTGTCTGCTTTTTAAGAAAAACCCTGCTGAGAATAACTTTTTATAGCTAGTATAATTCTCTGTTTTTATTTATTTATTAAAATCATTGTTCGGCGTCAAGCGGGACAAAATAGTTCAATCGTAATTCTTTAATTTCTAAAGAGTTGCTCCTTCAACAGTTAACCCCAAATTCACATTCTTATTAGTAAAATATAAGCATCTCTCCGCGCTGCCCTTCTCTATTTGTTAGTAATTTCATTGAAATCTATAACTGTTGTACATGCAAGCCAGTGGTGAAATGAGGCGTACCCCACCCGCCTGTGTTACGAACCCCTGGATTTATTTTACATTTAGAATACAAGCCATGGATCTTTAGGTTTGTTCTGCCATAGATATTAACAGTTTCTTTATATGTGCAATAAACCTTCAACAATTATAGGACATTCAGGGATTATAGAGGATTTCAGCATGTGCTTCGATTGGTGATTTTAACGGTCGACAACGCTCATTATGCAGCGACACTGACACAGCGATGACAAGCTTATCATACAACTTCATCCCACCGTCTCCACTCGCTTGGAGGGACAAACATGTTCATGATGAACTCTGAATGCCAATGCTGATCACTGACAAATACATACACACGTCACACACACACACACACACACACACATATAAACAAATATACAACAGAGCACGGGCACTTGTTCTTCTCACTAAACAGGCCTGTTTTTCAAGTGCTGTATATTCCTCGGAAATATGAGAGTGAAGCAACCAATCGTACATCGGCAACATCTCGCCGGGAACAGAAGGTGTCGTCAGCGCGGCTCACAGCCCGTTTTCCCCGTCAGCCCTCGTCCTTCCTCAGCTCGCTGGGCAAGAACTTGTACTGCTGCTGTCGGATCTGAACCAGCTTTTTACGGGCTTCCTCCAGCTCTCGCTCCTTCCTCAGCATCTCTTCCTGAGCCGCAATGATCTGAGGAAAACAGGGAACAGCTGACAGGAAAGTGTCCCTTCCACTCATCATGATCCCATTCCTGTGGATCGCTTGGAATGGATCATCAGCTCAGACTTCCTACAGTTTGTGAACTCCAAACACAACCCATTCGCCAATAAAGCATCTTGTAATAATAATAATCCTAAAGGTCTCTATAAATTTATGTAATTGGTGGGGAGTCATGCAGAGTGAACCACTTAATATTACCACTTTTGGACTGCATTGTAGTATCTATTTATCAGATTATTACATTACATTATTATTACATTATATATATATATATATGTTTTCAGAATAAACATGAATAATAGTACTGGTCAATGATAATGTTAATCATCATTAGCTTATATTATTTTAGGACAGTATGTCTCCGCCAACCAAGTTAAGTCCAAAATGTCACACTTGTATTTTTCATGATTTTATCCTATTAGGTACTGATGTAAAATTGGCATTTGGTTATGGCAAAATAATTGTGAGGTCACAGTGACCATCAAATTCTGTTCATGCCAAATTCCCTCTAGGTATTCCTGAGACGTCATGATTACAATAGCTAATAATTATGCTTCTAAAAAAAAAGACAAAAGGTACAATCATCCAAATCAATGAGACAGTGAGCCGTATTGAAGCCCAGCGAGGCTGAAACAGGATCCTAATCCATCAAGATGAAAATAAAGCTTCCTGAGGCACCTCGGAGTAACTTTCAATTTGTTGCAGAGAAGAAGACAGAGATATGTTTGCAGCGGGTGTCTAGTAAACAGCTTTGAAAAGAAGCTGATGGGCTGTTAATCCTCAACAACGTGATACGATCAGCGAGACGCACAGTTAAAAGGGCGAACCACACAACGGAAATGATTTCGCTTCCAGCCGAATCACTTTTATAGATTTTGTCTTATACCTGAGCTATGCCTCCAACGAATTTGGTCTTCACCACCACGCTGTCATCCTCAGTCTTGTCGAACGCTGCTTTCTGAGCCGCCTTCACCAGGTTGTCTGAAGCTCGCTTCACCGCGTTGCCGGCAGCCTTAAAACAGGAAATCTCAACGTTAGCACACAACGGTGCCGCGGACGTGCCGGGGCTGTGTTCCAAGAGTCACCTGTAGCCTCTTCATGGCTTCTGAATCCTGGTCAGCCTTCACCTTGCAGGCCACCAGCAGCTGAGCTGTGGAGGCTGCGACCTGCTTGGCTGAAGAGATGAGCTTCTCCTCGCTGGCGTGGCCTTGCACTGAGGCGTTTGCTGCCTCACACAGGCTGCTGGTGGCCGTGGCCACCCGACGCGCCTACAGCAAGCGACACACATTTAGCTTCAATCAGGTTAACGTTGAGCACATTCACACGGCGATTTGCAATGTGTCAACTTACGGCTGATATCAGACCCTGTGACCACTGACCATCGTCCGTTGCATTCGCTAGATTGGATCCCACCTGACGTTGACATTTGGTGAGAGACGCATTGTTTCTCGTGTTTTGGGTTATTAGTGTATGTGGTTATTATAAGTATGCATTCTGACTGACCTTGCCTTGGGCCACCAGTTCTCTCTGAGCAGCCGATGCAGATTTAACCAGAGCGCTACTCGCCGCGGCGATGGACTTGGCTGCTTCCAATATCTGCTCCTCAAAATCCAGCATCTCATCTGCCTGCTGAGGATAAAATCACAGTCAGCTAGGGCCGTAACCATTTCATAAACAATAAAATGATGAGTCGTGACCACGATATAAAGACATTAACCATTTGACTGTAGTTTTTACTCCCCGACAAGATGGTTTCATTTCTGTTTCAAAGCCTTTTTTCAACTGCCAAGAATAAGGAAATAATAACCCGCGTTCTACAGCACAATCAAAAATGATATGCCATCTCCCAAACCTGAACTCAACACCATTGTGACGATCCCAGTGCATTAGTTCAGAGAGAGCACATCTCTGCCTCAGCAGATGACAGCATGTGTTTGACCACAGAGCTCCACAAACACACAAGGCACATGTGGCTGGAGACAGGGCGGGACACTGTAGGAATATGTTTGATATATAGTTGGACTTATTAACAACCTAATATATCAAACATATCAGACAGAGCCCTGCAGAGAAGGCTTCCAGGTAAACACCAGGGCTCGGAGAGGGATGAGGAGGATGAAGGATAATCCACCCGGTTTCAGAAAAATAACTCGTTTCAATCTAAGGGGCAAGAATAGAGACGTTCAAGTGGACTCAACACTTCTAAAAATGTGTTAGCTCTGTGTATAGCCGATAGTAAGTGATGGTAATGTAAATACATCTTCTCACACGAGGAAGTAAATGTGATGGTCTCCCGTTAAACGCAATATTGCACTGCTCGTTTCCTGTTAGATCACTAGAGGGAGACACTGACAGCTAAAAAGAGGTAAAGCCTTTAACTCACTAATCCGTTGTCATGAACACAAAGGTCCTCATGAATGCAATCTCTAGCTGTGGAATTACGGTATGAGACACAGCACGATATACGTTTAATTAATAGCAGGGTAGCCTGGCTTTACTTGTATATATATTATATGTGCAGAGGGGCGGACTAACAAACACACGGTGTGTAGGAAGAGGTACAGAAAAGGGGGAATGCACTACAGGCACAGGAGGAAGAGCAAATGGGTTCCAACTATCCGGTCTCCAGAGACGAATAAACAAACACAGCCGTGCAGTACTACACACAAAAAACACAATCCGATATTGCGTACAATGATATCAAGGTTATGCCACTTTCAGAAGGCACTATCCCCGCCGTCTCCCAGGGGGACAAATAATAACAAAATACCCTCACTGTTCAATTCAGCAATAAGGAGCACTAGAGTAAAATAGAGTAAATATCTTCAATAAGATGGAGGCCTTCTCTTTTGGAAGGGTTCACAACAGTTCATCACACAACTGAACTCTGTCCAAAAAAACGCTTGAAAACCCATCACTGTAATTGTGTCCAGAAGTGCCTTTGAAGAGCGTTTTGTGAGCCTGATACGTTAGCTCACTAAACCCGCCTGTGAGCCATTACGCTGAGTGTAAAGGAAGAAAAGAAATTCTCTCCGGTATCAAGATGCCGACTCAGTCAGTGCAAAACATAACCCACTTCAAAGTCAGTGTCCCTTTCTTCTAACTTCTTCTAACCCCTCCCGCTTATTAATGGCAAAGCGCTGTGCACGGGCTTTGTGTGTGGAATACGTTGCGAGGGGCACCTCTACCTTGGGTTTGGCTCTGGGTTTGAGCTGCTCCAGTTTCTTGGCTGCAGCTTCAATGGACGCCGCTGCTCCAAGCAGCTCGGTCTCAGCGACGACAGTGGGGTCCTCTGGGTCCACGTACTCGGAGCCTGAAAGGGTCGACACATGCCGGGGCATTGGGTTTTGTATAAACAAGCACAGGTAAAAAGGACCTGATGCAAAATATTTTCATATTCTTGTTTTTCCAGTCACTTCCTGCAACAGGAGGAGATTAAACACATGTATGACTGTTTTGTTAGGCTACATGAATACATTCAGAACCACATTAGCTTACGAGGTAAGGCACTCAAATCTAAGAATAGAATTTCAAAACAGAAGAGAAATGTTGAATTACTCATACAAACCAATCAATAATAAACCTGTGAGCCCGGTGATTATTTGTTATTTCATTTAACAAGAGGTCAAAGTAAAGTAGTGCTTCAATAATAACATAATCCAGGCCTCACAGAGATCCTTAATCTCCATTTACGTCAGCCGCAGAAAATTTGCTTAATTCAGTCCAAAGAATAGTTTGCATTGTGACAGTAATGCCTCAAAGTTAAACAAGATAAACTAAAAGTTAGAAGAAATGCACATTTGATGGATCATTCTCTCTTTTTATTGTTTTTTAAGTGCTGGTAAAACGGAGATGTTCGGGAACATCTTGGTAAAGCAGATGGAACAATGTTTTCATAGATTATGTTGAGCTCCGGGGAAATCTGTTTCGCACCCCCAACCCCCAAGCCATCTACTCCGCTACACCCTTCTGACTCTGTGAAAGGTGATCTGGAGGAACAAAACACACCACATCCCACTTACCTCCATCTGAGGCAGCAATGGGAGAGAGGGGGAGAGAGAGAGAGAGCATAGGGACATTAGAGAGGTGGAGGGCATCGCCCTGCAGGGTCTCAGGCTATACGCTGAAATCAAATTCTCATCCAAACATAATCTATTACTCCTGTCAGAGACAGCAATAGCAATGCAGCTTCCATGGGAAACACTGTTTCAAGACTGCAAAGCTTCATTTACGCTGTAGTCGCTCTATCGCGCCAGTTTAAAATTCAGAAATAATTGTCATGATCTTTATTACAGATGCAGACGTGTTTGGTGGCTTGACTCAATAACACCGTTGTACCATTCAAGCACAAGAGGATTAGGACTCCTTTAGCTTCTCCACAATCCTGTCATGTATTTCTTTGTTTTACATTTTATGGAATGAACTTGCTTGTCTTATGGAAACCCCTCTGACTTCCAGCTGACGGTTTTACACGTAAAATCTAAATCAGCCAACCTTTTTTGAACGGCACACAAGCTTCTGTAAAATTCTGTCTCCTTATGAAACACCATTATTCTGTTTTTTTAGGTGGCAGAAACACTTGGAATACTAAATCAATATAGATGCCATGTGGCTAATGGGCCATTTGGCCTGTCTGAATGAGGTCATCAGTAACTACAGGTTGTTAAGCCTGACCTTTATTTGTGTGCATTGTGTGGCTTCACCTTTCATGGCCTCAGCTGTCTGGACGAGCTCCGTCACACACGCTGCCACATGCTTTGAGTGTAAGGACAGCTGCTGCTTCTGCTCGGGGATGGGCCTGTGCAGCACCTGAGAAGATACAAAAGCCCACCGACTGAGGAACAAGAGGCAAGAGTGAATGTGATGTAAAAGCGAGCCAGAGTGCAAAGCTAAAAAGCTTTTACAGTTTATATGTTCTTTTCAATTTGACAAAATGTATGTAAAGAATATTGTTATAATTATAACAATAATAATTAACTTGAGTATAGAGACATCCAACTATTTTTCAACCACAAACTATAAGCTAAATGACATGTAATGTATAACTTAGTATTTTAATATTATTTCAGACTTTTTTTTTTAACACACTTGTCCTTCACATAACGCACGAGTTATTAGGTAAGACGGTTATGCTGATTTCTATGCAGATTCATGCAACATCGTGCTCAGAATTTAAATCAGATCTCTGTAGAGGTATTTCTAAGATGAATGTGGTTATACGTGTATAAGTGGGCATAAAGCAAATTTTCAGTTTTGCAACCTGTTTATAGAGATCTGTGGTACAGAATATTACGATCCGGCGGGCTTTGGCTACACAGATCATTTCTCGGTTTGGCAGGTGCATTCATTTTTGGTAAACATTAGAATATCACCAGCCTTTTTCTTTCAGTTGAAGTGATGCTACATTAAACACAAGCAGGAACTGGCATGAAGCAAGGAATACATTTTCAAATATCAGAGGATTAATCCTGCAGATAAGACCTGTGAAACCTCACTCCGTAAAAGTAAATATCAGAATCCACTCATCCACACTGTTGCTACACACATACACACGTACAAACGCAAGTCACTTTCATCCTTTATTCATGAAACACGTGACTGTCTCATTCTAACCTGCAGGACTTGCTCCAGAAGGTTGATATATCTGGCTGTGCACTCAAAGCCGTACTGCAGGACTTTGCTCCTCAGTTCCTCACCCACTTCTGGGTGGCAGGCTGCTTGCTAGAAGGGTGAGAAAACAATGCTGTGAGCTAAAAAAAAAGGACACAAAAAATGCCCTGAAATAATTATATACTGTATATATATAGTCTTATTTGCATTAGTTTGATTTTCAACAGCATAGAATGCTGCATTTGTCTGTACTTTTGTCTAATAAGTGCAGTCACTGAGGACAACCTAAATGCAGCTGTGATGAATTTGACTGCCCGCATGAAGAAGACTGTCCTATCTGCTCTCAGCAGGCCGGGCTCACGTGTTCCCTGGCAGCCCGGTGATGTCTGTGTGAGGCCTGTTCGTTCTGGCATGGGAGTGTGGATTAGCACCTTGCAGGATGTCAGCATATCGTAGATGGCTTTTCGGCTCAGGTTGGCGGTGGCGATCACATCCTCCTGCTGTGCAGAGTTTCCTGCAGCCACTGCCTTGGCCGTTGCTATGGTGATGCCCTTTGTCGTGCGGATGAACTCCTCAGGTGTGGTGCACCTGTCTGGGACGTCCTTGGACTGGAACACCTGACACGATGACGATCAAAGACACAGGTAGTTGGATGCGTAGCAGGCATGACAGTTGATCAGATGTGTTAAAGTTATTAATTGGGAAGTGTTAACTGGTAATGAGGCACAATTACTCAATTTAGGCTATCCACAAGAATATTGGCCAGTTCTACATCTGATAGTCATCAGCAAGTCCGATTTCTTCCAAAAATGTGACATTTTACTGGACATAGGTTTGCAAGGAACTCCGCTCAGACTCCATCACGGCCTGCAGCCAAACTGCAGTTGCACCCTGCTGCTCCGCTTGCCCCTGCTGGGACCCAACATCAGTAGCATGCTGATGGAGGCCCAGGCTGCATTGGCCTGCTGGACCAAAGTAAAGCACGGGAGAACCACATCCACGATGACTTATTTGGCCCTGCTGCAGTAAATTGAGAGTATTTCTAGAGCAACCCTGGTGCTTTCAAACAGTACTGCTTTAGTCCACAGGGACGGTGAAAATGAGCAAAAAATTCTCTAGTAGTTTTAAAATAGATGTGAATGTCCTGAGAGAAGAAATTGAGAAGTGAACATGCGAAGCAGACAGAACAGCGTTCGCTGTGGAATCAAGAGCTGGGTAGATTGTGTTGAAAATGGCTCTTGGCAAAGCTTCCTCTCAGACTTGGGGTCCTTTTCGATAAGGATTAGGAAAAAATTACAAAGAAAAACAAGCTCTTAAAATCGTCTTCCTTTCTCACTTTGCCTGCGCCTGCTAGCCAGACCCCGATAAGAGCTGTGAAAAACCTGCAGGGGCTGAGAGGGAAGGAGGAGGAAAGGAGCTGCACAGATAATAAAGGAAAGAGAACAAATAGCTCCTCCGTATAGAATAATATACATGGATATCCCTGACCCTCTTTGAGCGCAATTTTGCAAAGAGGCTGTGTCTCATCCCCAGACTTTCAAAAGATAAGCATGAAGTGCTCCGTCCCGGGTGGAGCTCTTACCGTCAGCTCCTGTTTGATGCACTCAATAGTGGCTTCTAGTGCCCTCGTCCCGCGGGTCGCTTCATCCTCCACGGCCTTCACCGTTTTCAACAGAGATGTCACATTGGTCACCATGACCTGTCAAAGGAAAAGAAGAGAAGGTGATACTCAGTCAGACCAGGAGGGGGCGCTCTTTCTCCACAGCCAACGCTGCATTAAAAAGGCCTCCCTTACTGACTCCAGTAGTAGAGAGTGAGCATTGGCTACATGTGTAGTCTAAAAGGATGCATTTTAAAATAAGAGTATATTCCAATTTACTGACACCTACGATGAAAAAAACAAAAACAATGCAAGTTCAATAATAGTAATAATTATAACAACAACAATAAATAAATAAATACTATGAGGACGTTTTCAGTAGATGAGCAAATTTCTGGTTCCGACGTAAAATAAATGTTTCTATTCCTTTACCTTGGCAGCGCTCTTCAACTGGTACATAGACGGGTCATCAGCTGGCTTGCTAGCGGCACATTTGGTGGCGCTTATGAGTTCAGGGAGAGCCTTCGCCACATCCCGCACCGCGTTTATTAGAACCACCTGAGGACACAGCGAGAGCTGGAATGAATACAGCACAATGGCGAGAGTATAGGTTTATCAGCAGCACCCTGGGGGGAGGATTTAACATCGCAGCTCTTATCAATCCTTCCTACTGTAGTCATGATGCTTCAGACTTAAAGGGCAGACACACAGAGGACATATGAGATCCAAGGTGTGTCAGATGAATCTGCAATAACACAGAGAATCTAAAGGTGGGTGTTCAGACGGATAGGAGACATTCATTGAAGGGGAGTGATATTACAGAATAGTAAAATGTTAATGGCTTATAATAGAGTGGTAAAGGTTTGTGCATTAAATTAAAAAGCAATAACCAAGCTCTGTTATTCTGAAATTAAAAGGCGTGCGACTGTGACTGCATATGGCTGAAACATCTGTGGTGGAATTATATATTCTTCAGTGTAAAGATGTTTCATCACCTGTGTCTCGGGGTTCTCAGAGCCCATGCTGGTTGCTCCCAGTTTAACCACCTCAGTGAGCTGGGCGATGGTCTTGGCTGAGGACTGGGCAGCCTGGGCCAGTTTCTCCTGGCTGGAGGCAGCTCCAGCAACCAGCAGCTTGGTATCCTCCACCAGTGCCTTGGCTGTCTTCAAGATGCTCTCCCTGAGAGACGGCACACATTGTGTCACAATCTGCTCCAGAGTCACACGATCAAGAACCAGTAATATGAAAGGATTGTTGGGCCTCCACCCTGCTCTCCGTCTTCTATTCGCCCCTTTTGGACTTTATTCCCGCTGCAACCCGGAGGACTGGACACGCAGCTTCGAACGAGAAGTTCTAAATCGCCTTTGCCCACTGAGTTTTTCCTAAACGGAGCTCAACTCTCACCAGTCAGCTGAAAACCGATGACCGACGCTACGTCGATCGAGCCCATCAACCCATAAGAGACTTGTTTTCTGGGCAGACTAATTGAGGGTGTTTATATAAACTTGATGTTTATTTGATTTGTTCAGTTATAACGTGGTACGATATAGTCCGGATCAACGAATCCGCTACCTTTTATTTATGTTTGAATGTGTACCTGCAAATTTCGTAATATTCCCTGTTGATCTGATACTGTGATACGCTTTTCTGCAAGGGAGTGAAAGCGCCAACTGTATTACGCTGTTGAATGATATCTCATGGTCAGAATAGTTCCCCCTTTTTTCTTTCGATCTTAGATCGCTTTTCCCGGGTCACCGCCGCGAGATCCGCTTGCCTGTGGTTGTATTTCGTATCGCGAGCCACATCGTTTGTTCCCGTAACTGCACACACATAAGTCCGACCATACTGATTCACATTGCTGATCTACGTTCCGCTGGTTGCGCGTCAGAATCTCCTCGCGTCGCGTCTAAGTACCCCCCCCCCACCCTTCGTCCAAGCCGTGGTCCCTAGTAACAGATAGCGGTGCCATAGTGGTGCAATTATCGTCTTCCTCGTTGTTTTACTACGTGGAACACTTCCGTGCATTTCGTTCTCGCTCGCCCCTCGCGTCGAGTAGTCGTATTACACCGCCTAACGTTCCCGTCTTCCTCGGTGGTTTGATTTAACGGTCTCACTTCCGCCCGCTGCTCTCGCTCGCCCCCTAGTGTGATAATCGGCACTCCGCTTATTGTTGCGCGCAACCCCACCCTTCGTAGTAGGTGATCTTGATCTGTGTTTCTGTGAGTTAATAAACCCTGTTATACTTTAAAGAACCGTTTTCCTGTGTTTACTTGTGCCTTCATATGGTGGCTTCATATGGTGGTGACAGTTGACATACATTGCCAGTGCTCAAACTTAACTCCTTCGAACATCTTCACTCTCAAGGAGTGAATATCAATTATGAGACTTGATTTATAGGATTGGTTATTGGTCCCTGTTAGCTCAGGGTGGGGCCCCGTTATTTATTTATTCTAAAGAAGTATCTTAGTGATTATTAATATTTCTATTAATGTCCATAAGTTAGTTCCTCATTTGCTAGTAACCTAATACGACCCCCTAGCCAACAAATTGGTGCCCCGTGTGAGGCAGTGTTATGTTGATTGTGTCACCATACTGTATGTGCAGTATTCCAGAAAGATCATTTGTCTAGGATTTTTGGAGATTGATTTTAATTGAGTTTGGGTTTTAATTTTAATTCTGGATTTTGACTTTTGGTTTGAATTTTTTTATTCATACATTTTTTTTTTTTGGTTTACCCATCTCTTTCTTTGCTTCGTTCTATTTCATTTGGTTTGGTCTAAAGTGTTTGATAGTTTCCAAACAGCACTCCGCTGCAGGTTGAAGGTTTGCTTCAATGTGGTAGTGGTTACCTGTACCTGTACCTGTACTTTTCTGAGGTACAATAACACTGGCTAGTTTTGTGAAATATTTTCCCCTTTCTTATTTTTGTTTTATTACTGACCTTAGGTGCGGCCACCTTATTAATCCCTTTGCTTGCAGAACAGCAGTACGCATCTGTTTTGCCCTTCAGGCATTTAAGTAGAATTTTTCTGCATTTAACTTGGCATACTTTCAGTTTCATGCAGACTCTTATTTTGACGTTTGTTAACTGCGCTAAAACCGGAAGTAGGAAACCACGTTAGAATTCACCACGTTAGAAAATGCATTAAAAATGCAGACAGTCATTGCGCCAGAGAAAATGCATCATGTCCGTTGACTCCCCACCAGAGGCATCGCTTGTATGTATATAATTCTTGTTCTGACTGAGTTAACTTTGAAGCATATTGATTTTTTGCTGTAAAAGTAATGGTCATGTAAGCTAGGTGGCTTAGCTAATTATAGCATTTTGCTGTTTGTTTCCTAGTTTCACTCTCTCATCACTCATCTCAGGTGTATGGATTCAGCACAATATGAAGATAATAAACCTGCATACGAGGAACTCAGGATTTCTTCATGTTCATGAATAGAGAGAGTTTAGCTCACTGTTTAGTTGGAGTTGTTACACCTCAGTGAGAACAGTACAGTGAAAAAGCGTAATCCAGCTGAAGTTTCAACGTCTTGAGAAGCAAGCAGAGAAGTAAAATGGAAGTAGAAAGGACTGGCAATCCATCTGTGCGTACAAGGAAAATGTGGTGACTACAATCCGGTAGAGTCACGTGAGGCTAAGTACGGGAGATTGGTGTGTGGACTCGTTCCAAACAGACGCAGATTCCTCCTGTGAAGTTCATTGATTTTATTGTCCGAAAGTCCAGTTAAAAAACATCCAAGCAGGCGAAGCAATGTATATGTATGTATATAATCCTTGTTCTGACTGAGTTAACTTTGAAGCATATTGATTTTTTGCTGTAAAAGTAATGGTCATGTAAGCTAGGTGGCTTAGCTAATTATAGCATTTTGCTGTTTGTTTCCTAGTTTCACTCTCTCATCCTAGTCCTAGTCTCTCATTGCTCATCTCATGTGTATGGATTCAGCACAATGTGAAGATAATAAATCTGCATTAGAGGAACTCAGGATTTCTTCATGTTCATGAATAGAGAGAGTTTAGCTCACTGTTTAGTTGGAGTTGCTACACCTCAGCGAGAACAGTACAACATCTTTCGGTTGTTAGTCATAAGCCAAACAAGTTCCTCGCGCCCATTTTAACCGTTTGACTAACAATCCCTTGACCACATTAAAGGCTGAGAGTCGTTGAGTATTGCCAGGTTACTTAGGAAGTAAACCAGGATGAGCAACCAAAAAGCCAATCAGGCAGGAGGAAAGTCTCCCAAAACGAACCCCACTGGTTCGCGAGATACGATCGCCGACCTCTTTAAACTTAGCCCAGAAGATAAGAATAATGTTAGTGGCTATGATGTTGCGGGCTGTGATGCCAAGATTAATGAAGTGGTGCAATATATAAAGAATCCGTCAGGGAAAGAAGTACGGACTATTCAGGACGTTCTAGGAGAAATGCTCCTGCTCCACTGTCGAAAAACAGAGCTGATGGAGGCAGAGATTCAGAGACAAGCTGAAGATCTCTGTGACGCTCAAGAAGCAATCAATTAGCTCCAAGAGAAAAACCAGGAGGGACGGAAAGAGATCGGCCACCTGGAGAAAGACGTTATGGCCGCCCATAGCAGAACCATTGAAGTAGAAGAAGAGAATCAAAGTCTGAGCGTAAAACTTTGACCTTCACCAACCCTGCCCCTGCGAAAAGCTCAAGCTCATTTGGAAGACCACCTCATGGTCTGTCCATAACTTCATGGAAACGCTCCAGCCCGAAGTCCGTGACGGATATTCTTCCCTGTGTCAGGCTCTCCGAGAGGGGTACTCAGACCAAGCATCCGCCATCCTCAGCGCATTTGCAATAACGCAAAGTAGACATGAAGCTCCCAGAGACTACTACCGGCATTTAAGGTCTGCGTACTTCCAGGGACGTAGTGGTCCAGGTTTAGAAGAAAACCAAGCTTTCAAGTCCCTCTTCTTACACAACCTCCACAAGAGTGTACGTTTCGATGTCACCATGCACTGCAGACCCCAACACCTGACTATGCAAGAAATCAGGAGATACGCACAACTGGCATGGGAGACACGTGCACCTCCAGCCAAGAAGGCTGAAGAAAATACCTGAGTCCTCAGAATCCAGGAATCTGGAAACAGGGACTTAGAGCTTGAGGGCAAGGAGATGCCGTATTCTGGAGGCAGCCCAAGACCCCCCAGAGAGATCAAAGGAGTTGGCAGCACGAAGGAGAGCGGAACCAGAGGGATCGAGGAAGTTGGCAGCCCGAGGGAGAGTGGAGCCACAGCGGCTACAGACATCCCCACGGCCCATCACAGATCAGACCGTGGCAACGACCTACATCTCAGCTCAACAGGGGAATTAGGTTCGAGCACCAGCCAAGGCAGAGAAATGAGCATGAATAAAAGAACCAAGGGCATCCAGAGAAAATAGACAGAAAGCCCAAAATTGAGGACCTGGTACGCAAATATATAAAGGAGGCATTCTAGGAGTATGAGGAAGCCAAGTCTAGCCAAACACCCCCGGCTCCCCCTGAGAAACCTGACGGTGACCCCAAGCACGCACGACTAAGCCAGTCAACGTCCCCACCTCCTGCCAAAGTTTACTTCGTGGACTGGGGACAAGAGATCAACACACTCCAAAAGACAATCACCCCTAATTTTGAACCCCCTCAGTCCTTAACCTTCCTTGGTAACATTGTGCGAAGAGGAAATGCACGCCGAATATACACCTCAGTGGAACTGGGCGGTGGTGTAAACACTCTTGCCCTACTTGACTCTGGATCAGAGATCAGCCCCATGTGCTCCGCGACCTACACGCAGTTGGCTGAAGCCACATTGAGCCTGGGATGACCGCTGGAGTCAGAGACTTGCGAGATAAACTTCACCAGCTACACCCAGGACAAATCCACAATCACAAAACGCACATGGTTCGACATCCCTTTCCAGGGGATGTCGATCAGGCACCCCATCTACATATGAAGCCTTGATACTGAACCCCGGCTTCTCAAGCAAGTCCTTTTAGACCGACTGGCCCCACTCATCGACTGCTACAAAGGACATATCTGGGCACAGGTAGAAACCCCAAAGACATTCGCCTTGAGCCAGAATGTGCCGGTCCCTGAGAGCCAAGTTGCGACTATTCGTGATTGTGGTGACGCCAATCCGGCTGCTGTACAACAAACCAAAGAGAAACAAAGTGCACCTGACTCACAAACATTACATCTTGGACGTCAACCTGGCGACACAGATCTACAGTGAAACAGATCTACCTCGACAAGAGGTTTACTGGTGTATACTCCTAACGGCCAAAAGCCGGCCCGTTGGGCCGTCCCAGCTGACCAAAGGGGGGTGATGCTGTCCCATGCCCACGATGCTGCCACTGGGGGACACCGAGGTGCCAGAGCCACACTGGACACCCTCAAGTTCCAGCCGTCCCGCCCATTGGTCCATGCCCCACTCCAGCTACGAGGGATCACATTCCCATGGTCTAACCTACAAATCGACTGGATTGGCCCGGTACCTAAGCCCTCACAAGGGAACAAATGCCTTCACCATCGTAGCACATATCATGTACAAATACATCCAACAACTCCAGGCTAAGTTAGATTCCCTCCTATTCGTATCGCCACGATTCGGACCACTACCAATAACCATTCCCCCAGTTAGTTCCAACCCTACCCCAGAATAGAACTAACTACCTCCTTTATTATTACTAGCCGTGCGTTTAGTATAGTTAACCTTCCTACCTCATGTAGCGGCCGTCTGCCACTTCCTGTGTGTGAGTGTTGGTACTTCTATTTTGAAATGTAATTAGCATCAGAGTCACGTGGGCAGGGGTGCAGTGGTTTATGAATGAGTGTAGGCATCTAGGCAGAGTGATGGTTGTATGGACATGGGGGTGAGTCGGGAGACAATACTTTTTGTTGACCGTATTCTACAGCGCACTTTATTGCATCGTCGCACAGCATGTATCGCTTCGCCTGCTTGGATGTTTTTTAACTTGACTTTCGGACAATAAAATTAATCAACTTCACAGGAGGAATCTGCGTCTGTTTGGAACGAGTCCACACACCAATCTCCCGTACTTAGCCTCACGTGACTCTACCGGATTGTAGTCACCACACCTCATTTACTTGTTTGTTTTGTTGTGATTTTAACTCATTACAATTATTTTATTTATTGTTATGTTCTCAAGTCAGTATTTCTACCACATTGAAGTTCTGCGTAGACCTAGTCAGCACTAAAGATACTCAGGGAAACGTGTTGCTAACATATGGTTTAAATGTGTGTATAATGACTGAACTAGCTGAATGTAGTTAAGCCATCTGCCCAGATGCCCTCTCAATGTCTGTCTAGATACCAGAACTCTATGAACTCTGAAGTCGAGCAACTCGAAATGGACTGTTTAAACCTCTATTTTTGTTCCCAGAAGCACAGGGACAACGTAACCCTCAGGACTGACCGGGACGCAGTAGTCAGGCCTTGTACTGCCCTAAAGACCGCAACCGACAACGCGCTCTTCAGGCCAAAGGGGGGATGTTGGGCCCTCCACCCTGCTAATGAACCTCACCACATTTTTCTTCACTGACGACAAAGTAAAAACACAAACATATAGGGGTCCCTGTAATGGTAAAATATGTTATAACATTGTTTTGTGCTAAAGCCGCGTCTCAAGTGTCCTGTATTTGACCCTGATGTGCAAAGAGCAGCATGATACAAAATGTTAGTTTGCAGCTGTGCCCTGAGAAGGGAGGACGGTCGACTCGATCTCATAGACGCTTCAAAACAAAGGACTTCTGTTCATGGCCTTGGTTCATATCTTATTCGGTATGAAAGTTCCCACTGCATGAAAAGTGGGATTTTCGGCAGTATGCGGCACTGTAAATTGTCGTGGAATTTCAGGTTTGCGGCAATTTGCGGGCAACGCCGAAAACTGCCGTAAATTGTCAGAAATTGATGTGGGCCTCCCTTGGCAGTTGTCCCCCCATGACCCACCTCCTCCTATTTCTAGGGGAGGCTTGGACATGTAAATGAAAATGCTGTGAGCTATACAAATGCAAATCAGGGTCGCAGAGGGAGTTTTAGCCCAGGTGACATTTTTTTAAAAGGTAAGAAAATCTCTGGTACAAATAGATCAGGCTCAGTAGCCTAATTATACACTCTTACATTTTGGCTTGAATTGATTCATTTAATTCAAATATGCTAGATTACTGTGTACGCCATTAGCAATGGCAAATGTTATGTAAAAAAGATACACAAAATAACTTCTTTAAAAAATTAGTTTTAATCAAGGTGAAATGAGCATTCCATGCAAACAACATTTGAATCAGAATGATGGTCTGCAGAGATCACAGTCTCCTAGAGCTCAACTACAGTGCATAGTGGCAGGACTACAGTGACCTTTTCTTTGGTCTTACTTAAATGCACAGAGGATGTATTAACCACACATCTTCTAGCAATGCGCTCAACTGGCAGAAATGATGCTGGGTATGACGTGTCTGTTCCCTGCAAGCCCCAAACTTCTATTGGCTTTCCATAAAAATGTCTGTCCGGGTGGAGATGAAGCCAGGAAACTTGTGCAAGAACATGTTTAAATGCCGTACCCTTTGACCCAACATTAACAACTATAAACTGCTTTATAATGGCTGGTCGTAGTTCTGCTAGAGGGTCAAGGACGGGTTCCTCTGTTAGTGTTTCCACACCACTTAGCATGAACATATGCTGACCTTTCTGCTCTGCATCTATCGATTGAGTAAGTTACATTCATATATGTTACCCGTTTACATGTCATGGCAAAACATTCAACCTCAGTGACACAAGGGTACATGTGATGATACATTGTCAACATTGCATGTCTGTCAGTCTCATCCAAGATTGTCTGGTGGAATGGAGAAAGAGGCACCACTGTACAGATTTCTAGGGAAAGTTGTTCTGCTGACACCAAAACACTGCTTTACATAAAGCATATCAGCTGTTTCAAAGTCCCAACCATTTGTCTTCCTAAAATACTGGTCCTTCCGAATAACAATAACCTCGTATGTGATTGGAGGACCCTTAGACTCCTCGTCCAATCACGTGTGAGGTCATAGGCATGACTGATACAGCAGTACTTGCAAGACGAGCATACAAACAGACACGTGTGTGTTACTATACATAGAAGAACTGTATCTCCAGTTCCTTTGTTTGGTTTTTGCTGCTTCGTGAATAATGGCTGGACGACGTCTCGCGTTCAACTCGCCTTCAACTGCTCTCCGCGGTCACCAACTTTCGGCCAGTCCGCAGACAGACAGAAGAAGCTGCTGAATGCTCTCAGTGGATCGTCTCGTCAACTCCAACAGCAAACTGCCGATATCAACGAGCGGTTCGCTCCACTGGAGCGTTCGGGACTCTGCGGGTTTCTGTCCATGGAGGAGAGGAACCGACTCAAAGAAGAGGAGACGGGCGCACAATCCCACGATAGCGGTAAGAATACGTTCGATGACTGCAAGCTAAGCTAAAAGTAGCGTAGCCTCAAGCTAAGCTAAGAGTAGCCTAGTAGCCTTACAAGTGAGCAGAAACAGCTTTATTAAAGTGTGTTTTCTTTGCCGTGTCGTTTACAGGAAGCGGTGCGCCGTCTTCACAACTCCGAGACGAATTACAGGCGCTACGAACCGGAGCAAGGGTAAGATTTAAAGAATATGCTTTCATTCTGCGCTATAAGGAAATATATACGTATAGATACCATAGGATGGATACCGATCATAACTGTACATTTTGTTTTCACAGACTAACCTCACCTCATAATGAGGCGGTGACCTCGTATTTGCTCCGGGAAAAGTCCAGATTTAGACGACGTCATTGTGTGTAAGTGACACTGTTTCTCCTTCCTTGTTAAATGTTACTGTGACTTGCGTTTGATTTTCTTTTTGTATTCATACCACTCATTTAATTGTTTTCCAGCCGCCTGTGAGACGTATTTTGAGACGGGACGCAGGAGCTTCAGGTTCAGGCGGAACACTCATTGCGAGCGGAAGCTGCGAAGGATTCAGCGCGGAGTCGAGCGAGAAGAAAGAGGGTCAGAGTTTATTTGCTGACTTTTTTCAGGTGCATTGATCGATGTGTTGTCTCCGTACGCATCGCATCGCACAGTACTGATTCATTGTTGTTTTTACAGCTGCTGGAATCGAGACAAAGCGCGCTGGATGATGACGAGGTGGAACGCTGGAAATCCGCCACCGTAGAGCTCACGTCGGACGGAGGGGACGGCGTTGTTGGCGGGGTCTCGGGGTGGATTGTACGGTCGCCACACACACACACGAGCCGCCTGCACAACAGACCTGCCTCGGAAAACACGGCGCCAGTGACGGTCTACAACCCCGAGGAGGCAAACGGACAGTTTACTGAGCTGTAGTTTTTAAACCGCCGTTACCCAAGTGTGGGCAGATCCTCACTTTGTATGTAGTTGTTGTTTGTGTGTTGTTAATAAAGCTTTTTCTTTGCATAAACATGTGGCAAATGTTCATTTTCTCTATAAATTCATTGATGTCCTGGTTGGTATCCTAATAATAGTGTAGTAGCCTACATATGATAACCATGAAATGAATATACATCATATATATTTTATTTATATATGAATATATAAATAAAATGAGGCGGGTGACCAATAGCGACAGATCTGCCAACCAATCACGAGTGATTGAAAGTTGTTTTAATCCAATCATGAACAAGGAAACTCAAGCCTGGTCTGCCCAGGTGTGGTTTTGCTGCCAATCACGAGTGATTTTATTTGTTAGTAAGTTGTGGTTTCATCCAATAAGGAGTAAGGATATTCAAGCCCGCTCGGCTCGGCCACCCGCGGTTTCGCTGCATTCATATTCTAATTAGGACCATTCGCACCTCCGCCAGCTCTCCACCTACGTCATGGTTCGTTTCCGACAATTTGTGGCACAGACAAACGCGACGTGCGCGGGTTGCAAATTGTCGGAAATTGTCGGAAATTAGGGAGATTTCCGGGCGTTTACGGGGACGAAAATCTCACTTTTCATGCAGTGTCCGGATCCAAGTTTTACTTTTATGTCATTTAATTATGATTTGCACCGGCCACTGAGGAGGATCTTGTGTGTGTATGTGCTACCCTCAGCTTCACCTGGGTTCTTATCTCAACCTGCTTTGCAGCTTCTCGTAACTGGCACGGAGAATGTCCTTCACATGTGTATAAAAACTCAGCGTTTTTACTGCTCGGAGACGCCATTTCCACAGATCACCGTGATACGTGCCTGTGTATTTGACCTCCTGCTTGCAAGCAATAAATGGACTTTTTGCAACTTTGATCATTCATCAAGACTCTGTTTTATCAGACAAATCACTTCTACCGAGCTTTTATTGAAATATTCCACAACAATTTGGCGTCACGAACAGGATACGCTGACCGTCCGTCAGGCTCCGGGGGACCGTCCGGGGAAAGGGCCCTTTCCAGGATCACCAACTGATGATCCTGCCTCATACCTCCTTAGACAAGAGAGAAAGGACCGGCGGAAACCAGAGGAGTCCAGATTGACGTCACGTGTATCCAGCGAAAAAGAATTAATTTCTACAAACTCGGGTAAGAAGTTGAAATTCCAATTATAAAGTAACAGTAAGAGTTGAACATAACGGAATCGGATGACTGATCAAGTGGTTGTTATAGTCTGGGGAATACAATTATTTTTTAACATTTTTGGGTGTTTTTTTAAATTATTATTATTATTATTATTATTATTTTATTTTTTTGAGTACATGATTCCGGGATATTTCTAATGCATCATTTTATGCAAAGGTAGATAGGATCGTGTACGATAGAGATTTCACTCGGAACAAATTCTCCGAGATCGTAACATTGCTAGACTACAAGTAGGAGACTGGATTGCTTACGGCAAAGATTTCACTCGGAACAAATTCTCCGTGATCGTAACGCAGATCGCTTGACTACCCGGGTAAAATAAGACGTTGCTATTGACCAAACGTGAATTCCACCTGTGGAATAAGATCGTGGAAATAGCCTATACGTGAATTTTATGCTGAAGCAGGTAAAACGATATCACTGTTTTTGTTAACCAAACGTGAGTTCTACTGAATTACCTTTAGAATAAGATCGTGGCGATATTGAAGCGTGAGTTTTGAGTGGGGTTTTTGCAAAGTTTTTCCTTGAGTAAAGAAACTACGCCTTACGGTGACGACTATATTGTAATAAGTAAACCGGTAGGGTCCACACCAGTAAAAGATGGGTGGCCAGTCCGCAAAACACACGGAACCGTCGGGTCCGATTGTGGCAATGATGCAGCAGAAATACGGGAAAACATGTACAGAGTGTCTCCTATACTGGACAAAAGAGTTTGGTTTTCCAGAAAACGGCTCGTTGAGTGCCGCTAAACTTAAAATGTTAAGAGGGGATTTGGAAGCAAGGTTAAAAAATTTGAAAAGTGGTAAAAAGATGAAAGTTAAAGACTAATAGAGAAAAACTAGACATGTCTGGCACAATGGGAAATGGAATGTGAATGCAGGGAGAGAAAACAAACAATGAAGAAAATGACGTGTCTAACACCTAAAAAGCCTGACATAGAAACACAGAATAATCCACTTGTGTCTTCTCCACTGTATCCA